TAAACAGAAACAAAACAAGATACAATTTTCACTTAAAAACACCATATTAACAAATGTTAAAAAAAAAATTTGATAATCAAGCAATTTTTATAGAGTTAACCTCGTATGGTTATTTATCTTCTTTTTTCTAAACATTTTAGTAATTTAAAAATACATCAAAACATCTTCATTAAAACCTGAAACATATAAAACTCCAAATATAATTAAAATAGCTTAAAAAATTACTTTTACAGTTTCAGCTACAGATTCTGCTCAAAAACAAGCAATTCGGCCAGCGAGCAAGAAGGCATATTTTTTGGTGCTTAAAACTGAAAGCTTACTTTTGGTCCCACACAGCAAAAAGACACTGAAGGTGCAGAAACTGACTTTAATCAATATTCTGCTAAGTTTAAAATGGGGGAAAAAAATGGCTGCTCTATGAGGCTTAGTCGCATTTGAACAACTTTTAAACTGTTGATAATTCTACTAGTATGCATATTAAATAAAGGCATAAAACCTTAAAGAACAACATAATTCAATCACTTTTAAAGCAAAAAACGCAAAATTTACCAACATATAAGAATACAAACCAGAGATTACCAAGCCAGGTAAGAAAGTGGGTACACACACATATATATATATATACATGATAATAAATTTAATTTTTGCAATTCAAATTTCTTAATTAAATTTTTTAATTTATAATAGCTTTATACAAATAGAGAATATTTGTTAAATTCAAATATATATATATATATGTTGGTGTGGCTGACTGCAACCAAAAAGGGAGGTACAAAGCTAAATGTTCTAGCAGTCCTACATGCAAAATTTCAACATTCTTTTTGAGTTATGCATGATACATATATATATGTGTAGAGGGGTCAAGAAAAAAAATATCTTCTGGACCTCTTTTATAATCTGTTTTGGAAAAAAGAATCATACAGATATCACGCAAAAACATCGTTAAATTGCATTCAACAGCTATCAAAATGGATATTTTCGATGAAATGTGATACTTGAAATTTTTTGTGATTACAATACTTCCTTTGCTTCGTACAAGGAAGTAAAAAAGATTAATTTATTAATGACCTATGTTAGTTAACAATGTAAATTTAAAATTCTATTAAGTGCTAAAAGTTGAATTAATTTTCTGCTCATTTTCAATTTTTAAATACTAAGCTTCCTTCTTACTTTTTCAACAAAAATTTATTAGTTCATTCAAAAATAAGAAATATAGAAGTAAAAATATCCCTCTTTCCATCTTGTGCTCTCAAATCATTAAGCGAATATGCATTTACAGCTTTTAAAACTTGAAAAAATGCACGTGTGCAATGTTATTGTCATGCGATGATTTCTAGGTACTTTATTTTTTACCACGATATTTTCTACAACAATGTTTTTAAACTGTGAATTTTTTTAACTACTTTATTTTCGACCATGATATTTTGTACCACAATGTTGTAGAACTGCGATGTTTCCTCTTTGCTTTATTTTCTCCCACGATGTGTTGTACCACGACGTTTTTGCCTTACGTTGCTTTCTCCACAACGTTTTCATAAAGTAATGTTTTCAGCTTTAACCGAAAATTAAATAATTCACTGAATAATGTAGGTAGAGAGGTAAAAACATACATGCTTGAAATGTCATGGGGTTTTATAGAAAGTAAAAAAAGTGCTTAAAATGCCCAACAAACGGTGCTTCATATAACAAAAGCAATAATTAGCATAACAATTGGTTTTTAGCAAAGACTACCTTCTTTATAACAAATGTTCAGAATGTCATCCATCATTCATCAACAATACTTGTAGTCGAGGAGCAATGTAGTGAACAACACTGTCTAGCATATCTGTAAGTATGGTCAGATATTGCCAGAAGATGTTATCTTCTAGCATCCCTCATGAGCTCGGACCATCACGGTAGACTTGTAATTTTAGGCAACTCCACAACCAATAATCACGTGGATTGAGATCTGGGGACCTGAGAGACCAAGCATGATGGAAGTGGAGGCTCAGCACATGATCCTCACCAAATGATGTGTGCAAGAGATCTTTCACACGTGTAGCAATATGGGGTGGAGTGCCATCCTGCATAAAAGTCATATCTTCCAACAGGTATCAGCCAGACTTGAGATAATGTGATTCCGTAACATATCAGTGTATCTCAAACCCATCATACTGAGAGTCTGAATAGCAGAACAATGCATTTCCTCAAAGAAAAAGGGTCCTATCACAACTGACCTGATAAATCCACATCACACCATGACCAACACCCAGAGGTGAGGAAAGAAAAGTGACAAAGAACTCATTTCGTATATGATTCTCATATGAAGTCACTGACATTTTGCTGCCCAGTGCCATATGTTATTGGGCATTTTTTCCCCCTTTCAATAAAAACCCATGTCATTTCAAACATGCGTCAATTTTTACCTCTCTACCTACATTTTTCTGTGAATTATTGAATTTTCAAATGTTAACAAACTTTTGGGTCACCCGTTATACTTAAGTTACACTAACAAATTTTTATCTGATTTATATCTGCTCCATTTCACTATGAGGTTTTTTTTTCTTATTCCAGAATTTATGCAGATTAGAATGGCAAACAGTTATACTATACAGTTAGAAGAATTTGCACACAACTGTAAGTGAAAGTTTTAACCAACCCACCGATAATACTTTGTCATGTAAATGAAAGCTTTACTCTACCTATCGGATTTCTAATGCTGTTTTGAACTAAATATTATCCAGCAAGGACAGATTTGATTTTAATAAGCTGAACGCTTGAATCTCAGGCACGGTTTTAGGCGAAGCTTGTAGTTAAATTGTTTTAATTATATAGCAGCTGAAAGAAGCTTGTGTTTAAGCCAGGTCCAAGTGACTGGTAGTTTTGTACTGTACAAAGAGTGTTTACACATTTTCAAAACAATTTTGATACAGAATTATATAAAGCAAATGTTTTGGAATAAAAGTTTCTGACAACATCTTATTATTTGAAATGAGAAATAGCATTGGCTATTTTAAAATTTATTGTTCTTTCAAAATGCCGCATGTAAGCAAACTGTGAATTGAAGATTATATTTTTGTGCTTTTCAAACAAAAATATATTCCTGTTCCATTACGCAAAAATATTGTGAAATGCATGGTATTAAAATTGCGAAGTGCAAAATAAGCAACATTTTTAACCAGAAAGAGGAAAATCATCAATCATTGCTTATACATGGAAAGAAGATTCCAAATGAATATCTGAAAAAGGAAAGAACTGTTTCTAATGATTCTAATACTAAATAACTGGTTACAAGCAAAAATCCACCAACACGTAAATCAATTGTAAAGTCTTTAAATACATCTGTAGCAACAATAAATAAGATTTACAACTTATAAAAGCTAAAAAACATAATGTTCAAGGCTTTTGTTGAGGCGTGTGGCTCAACGGAGAACAATTTGCAAAACTCTGCATGAAAACTATTTAGCAGGACATAAATGGAAACACATTGATATCCTTGATGAAGCATGGGTTTAGCTAAAAGACTGCAACAAAAAAGATATATTTATTATCATAAATGAAGAGAAAAAATGTACAAACCTTGTTCCATCAATGAAATTTCCATAAGGGGTTTATGATTGTCACACTCTTATAGTGGGAAATTTTAAAAATAAGAAGAGTGGGGGGGAATGTTAAAATCAACTTAACATACTATCAAGAGAAAGTTTTACTACCAATATTACAGAAGAAATTCCATCCCAATGATTTTCGAAGTGTGAAACGTCATTAAGACAAAGCAACACACCATACTTCAAAACATACCACTACATTCCTCAAAAAAATGAAGAATGACACATGTAGTGCACATGTACCTTTTGAATGTATTCCTGTATGTTTCTTGAAAAAACCACTTTCTAAGCACAAACTCACCATGATTGATGGGCTCTGGAAAGTAGTGGAACAGGAAGGGAAATGAGTACTCCTGGAAATTTTACAAAAACCCTTCTTTCATGGAAATCACAATGCAGTCTCATAATCCAGAAAAAAGGCTGTTAGACTGCGCATTTAAAAAATATTCTTTACATTTTAAACATCAATTAAATGGCCCTGGAATCATTCTAAAAGTGTGTAAATATACTCTGAATATTCCAATTTAACAAGTGGTAAAGAAAAATAAATTTAATGTTATTTTATTTTTGTGTGTGTCTGTTTTAGAATTTAGATCTAATGGAAACTCATCCGATGATTTTAGGTAACACCTTTAGTTGATTCAAATTAAGCTACCTAAGTTCACTGATACTGGGACGATAACAGAGGCATATAAGAAAGGCATCATTTGTGAGTCTAATGCCCAACGGAGTCCAATGAAGTACATGTTCAAATACATTTCCACTCGGACCTACACTGTATTCAACTAACAACTGAGCCACTGGCAAGTCTATTTGCTCTTACAATGCAGAATGTTTGAATTTATTAATCAGGCATCTCAGAATGATGTCTCACCATTTGCTACTGGTTTCACTGTCCTCCTTCCATTTTTTATAGGCACTAATATTAATAATTTTTCTCATGAACACTATACACACAATATCACTTTGAAGATATACATTCTTAACCTTACCGTCATCACAATTTTACTTTAAGTAAAGTTGTTTAAATCCGAACCCTTTCTCATTACATAGTCGATAAAATGATGCCTCACATTCTCTGCAGCCATCAAGTAATATCTCCACCCTGTCATGTGCCATCTACTTTATTCCAGCATGGGCATTCTCACAGTGGAAATGCAATCATAATGTTTTAGCTGGTCAATGTATGTAAATACTGAATATCATTACTCTTTTCAAGAGATCATTCAAGTTTCATCTGCGAATGATCATTCAAGACTCACAGAATTAGTTTTAAATATGATCATGATATGACTTCTAATTATCATAAGCCATTATAATTAATTATAAATTGTGCAAATTATATTAGAATTCTCGCTAGAAGCTCACTAGAAATGTTCACTAGAAGTCTGGCAAAAAATGTGTCTCACTTACCTATTACTCAGCCTATTTTCTTTTGTTTGAACAACTTTTAGAGGTTTATTGATTTTGGGCCAAATAGATGCTAAAGAAAAAAAAAAAAAATCAGTTCTATATTACTTTTCTAAATTACATATCAAAACAAAACAAAAAAACTTATAAATATTCATAAAGTGGGCTTTATGAACTTGTAAAGGCCACAAAAAATTCATAAATACGAATATCTTTAAACAACCATAAACTTTTCAAGAACAAAGTTACATAATCTGGAGGTTCCTAAAAACATCGATGTAACATAACACATTAAAGCTCCTGATACATGGATCACGTTACCTTTCTCTGGAAAGTAAAATATCAACCTGCTGTTAATGCATTTAAAAAGTCAAATGGAAAAGAAATGAGGCAATGCTATATTAAAAATTATCTGAAAAAGCAATCTTAGTTTAATATAGATTTTGAATAAAACTCTTATCAATTTGGAAGGCAACCAAGCACAGGGGCCCCTTCTTCAAAAACAATCTTTTTTGGGGGGGGCTAAGATACAGAATACAATTTGGGCAATGTGCATCAATAAACTTTCAAAGAGAAAATTTTCCCAGATATTGAGATTTCATTATGCCTCATTTTTTCCCCTTTTTACTCTTTAATACACACTTAAAAATGCAGATAAACTGTACTAAAAACTCCATATAATAAATTATACATAAATCCAAATAACATTTTAATGTTCCATTCCAAGGTTTTTAGAGTTCATTCATTAAATCTGCTGAAACATTGTGACCAACTGTTCCAATATCTGGAGTCCATTATCAGTTAATTTTTTAAGAGTAGTACAAACACACTCAAAGTTCATGAAATACTTAATTTTAAATACCATTTATATAACCGCCTGCTTGCCTATCTATATAAAGTCCACTTGAAATTTTTCAACATTCAATAACTTTAAATTTTTTAAGAACAATCAGCAGACCCAATGCTGTCGCATGTTTTCAGCAGAATATTTGTGTCTGCCCAGAGGGAAAGAGATCAAATTACATAACCCTGCCATAAGGCATTTTAGATGTATATGTTGATCTGATATTCTTTTTACAAATGACACCACCCACCTATATTGAGAAAGAGCCCATCAATGGCTCAGCAGTAAGATCAATGAACACTGGTATTTCAACCTAAGCTCAGATCCTAGTAAATAGGATGGCTACATGCAGGGCTGTTCCTAGGCCATTAACTGCCCATGTACTTTCCTAGGATTGCAGCTCCCAAATTTTAAAAATGCTCAATGATTAAAAATTTTTTTTATTTCATATTCACTACATACTTACATATCAAAAACTTTATAAAAAGTAGTTGCATGTGATAAGTATTTACAATGAATTTAAAATATTTGGTCATGGAACAGCGAGAATCAGGCCACCCCTGACTTTCGCCGCCCATGTACTTTTATGTGCTGCACCCCCCGCTAGGAATGGCCATAGCTATATGGCAGATTTCATTGTTTCTCTCATGTGTCATGTGAACATGAACCACATTCTTTTAAAAGGCCCACTATAAAGGCTTCCCTACTCTTAGAAAATAGCCCTAGTGTGCTTTGCTTTAATCGAATAATCAAATCCAAATTGATCAAATGTGATTGATGCATTTTTTGAAACTGAAGTCATAGAGTGAATAAAGGAACATCAAAAATCTGACTTACCAAACAGAAGTAATGGAATCAGCTTGCAAGAGCGGCTGTATGGCAATATTTTCCATCTAAAAACCTCAATACTGTGAAGACAGTAAATGGTGGAGGAGTGAAACTTACTCCGCCCTCGCACTTTAATTAACCACCATATCAATTACATCCTAACATCTGTGCGAGTTAGAACAGGTCCTATTCTCTAGCAATGTTATAAATCTGCCTTCGTTCCCAAACTATTTTTTACTTTTATCAAATGGTATGAATTGTTGCATATTATTTTATTTGTTCCATAACAATTCTGCATCTTATTTATTCATATTCCACATTTTTCAGTTTGTAGCTAAGTGTTATGATGCTGTATGTCTTTCCCAAATAAATTTATTCAATTTACAAACTGGAGGAGAATATGCTAATGTAAAACTAAATAAGGCAAAAAAGCAACCTTTGTCTGACAGAGATTTTGAATAAAATTCTATTGAATTCAAACTCTATCAATGCAAATTCAAGAGCAAAAATTATTTTGCTCTTGAAGAAAGAGTATTCAAATCTATGCCAACTAAGGTTACTTTTCCACCAAATTTTTAATCATTCCATTTTATTCAATAGCTTTTGAGAAATTAGATTTTATTTTTGTAAAGATAATTTTGGACATAAATGAATGCACATATTTGGTTTGGCCAAATCAAAAGTGGCAGCAATTCTAAGTTTCCTCAATGAAGCTAATGAATATCCATTCATTTACAGATGCATTCTTGACCTTACCAGATACACAGGGGAGAAACAGGATCATACATCAGATAATGAGGATGTGCGATGTGTAGCTATAATTTGTGTACATATAGATGACAGGTGTGTTTGATGAGCATTTTATCAAAAAATGGTGTTTCAACTGCAGAATTCACTGTACAATCCACTCCTCTAGTCATTCAATGAGTTCAGAGGTAACTTCACAGCCTTAAAGAGAAGATGTGTTCTGTTTATAAGCAGTATTTTGTAAAATGCAATTTTTCCCATGAGTGGCCAGCATTCTTCGTTAAATGTTGATCTGCTTTTTAACTTCACCTGATAAAAGACATATGGCCAAAAGTTATTCATATATGACTCACACAATGAAAATTTTGGAGTTTAAATAACTTTTCCACGCAGCACACCATCAAACACGCCATCCAGTTAGAGGTGAACCAGTGCTATGAATTGTGCACAAAGTAGCTTCTCACTGAATAGTATCAAGAAACTTTTTTTTTTCAATAACATCTAGAAATCCAGTTTGACCAAGACTATATTTAAAAATAATGCTATTATCTTTAAATCTGAAATTGTAGCATTTTTAACACATTTTCGTTAGACCAAACTATATATACACAGTCCAGTCACATTAATATGACCACCACCTAATTTCAACATTAAAGTGAAATAACCAATCACAGAAGGTAGGTGGCAGCACATTGTAGTGGAGTGTATAGAAAGGGTGTCCAAGAGAATTAGAAAACACTGCAACTGTTGGCATAATGCAGAACACAGCAAATTATCTGATGTCCAAAAGGGCATGATCATTGGCTTTCGGGCCAAGGGTGGAAGCATTTCTGAAATGGCTGATTTTGAAAATTGTTTGCATACCGCTGTGATAAAAGTATACTGTGCATGGCAAAATGACATTATCAAAAATCAGCGATGCGGCAATGTGGTGCACCATGGGCCATATATTACAAAGGTGAATGACGGCTGCAAAGATGCATTTGGGTGAATAGATGTGTAACCATTGAGCAACTGACTCTACAGATGAACCAAGGAGCTACCAACAGTGTCTCCTCAACAACGGTTCAGCGAACATTGTTGTGTATGGGCCTCCGCATCAGATGCCTGGTTAAAGCATCTAGGCTGACTGCAGTTCATCGGCAATAAAGGCTGGAATTTCCATGCCAGTACCACAACTGGATGTCCACTGAGTGGCGATAGGTGGCTTTTTCTGATGAATCACATTTTATGCTCCATCAGACAGGCGGACGTTGGCATATATGGCTTGGAATTTTGGAAAGCTAACACCCTGCAACAATTGCCAGTAGGGTCCAAGCTGGGGGACGGAGCATTATGGTCTGTGGAATATTTTTGTGGCATTTTCTGGGTGTACCCATCATTGTGGAAGGCACAATGAATAAACAGAAATATGCATCTGTCCTTGTGGACCATGGCACCCCCTAGATGAGATTTGTACCAGCAGGACAACGCGAAGTGTCATACAGCTTGCACCGTACATGTGTGATTTGAAGAGCACCAGGATGAGTTTACTGTACTCCCGGGACTTAAACCCAATCAAGAATCTGTGGGACCACCTTGTTGGGTTGCTTGCACCATGGTCCTCAGCCACATAACCTAGTGCAGCTGGCCACTGCTCTGGTTCATTTTGATGGTGGCATGGCTCAACATCCCAGTGAACACCATCAAGAACCTAATTCACTCTCTTCCTGCAAGTCTTGCAGCAGTCTTCTTGATTTTGACAAGTGGTCACATTAATGTGACTGGTCTGCGTGCATATATATATACTTATGGCCAGTATGTACGTATACACACACACACATATTTACATTATAAAACTTGGTACTTTGGGTTTAAAAAGCCTAAAACTTGAGCTAAAGTTGTTAAATAAGTAAATATGAATGTAGTTATTAAGTAGTTTGGGGATTATCTCCCATGAAAAGAAATTGTGAAAATTAATAAAAATAGTGAATATTAATAACATAGTCAAGTAATATTAATAAATGTCCATTTTTATGAAAATACTTATTAAATTCAAGAATTGTCTGTTAAAAGGAAATAATTCATTAAAAGTAACATTAGGGCAAAATAAAAATGTAAGCCACTTTTACAAAAATACAGATTACACATTACAAAAATACAAAATTGTTTGATTGTATTTCCATTAACTGCATATCGACTTTTCAAGGGGAGCAAATCAATTTCCGATTAAATCACAATAATTAATGGAAGCGAATGTGTTTTTTTCATCTTATTATGAAAGAACTAATCATAAAAAAAAAAAAAAAATCAACTAGAAAAATACAGAAACCAAGAATGTCGAAAAAATATATTACAGTTTAAATCAAAAATAAAACTTAAATATTCTAAGACCATGCCCCCACAAATTTGCTCTTTCGAATAATTAAAATAATTTCAAACAAAAGTTGCAAAAAGAATTAAAGAACTCAAAAACAAAAGAAATATAAAAAAGGATACAAAAATAAATAATAAAAAAACTACATTTTCTATTTTACTAAAATAAAAATGTAACATGTTTACAACAATGAAAGAGTCTTATATTAACAAAAATAATACATGATGATGGGTAGAAATGAATTAAATTTAACCCCTTAACTGCCGCGGGCGTATATATATGCCTTGCTCAGCCGATGCGTTAACTGCCCCAGGTGTATATATACGTCCTTCCAAACTGCTATCATTTGCTTTGCGCTGCTACACCTAAAATTATTCGCAAAGTTAACGCATCGGCTGCGCATCTGGGGCAGTTAACGCATCGGCTGAGCAAGGCGTATATATACGCCCGCGGCAGTTAAGGGGTTAACTTGCATGTTTGCGAAATTTAAATGGACAGCAAATTGGCAGAGTAGTTTGACACTATCAGGGTTTCCTGTAATTTGGAGATTCTGAGAGGGTGGTGTTGGAGAAATGTGGGTGTAAAAATGTAGCTTGGTAGAGGCTATTTTAATAAGGCAGGAAAACTTTAATGTTTGAGCTACCATAAATACTAGCAGGGCTTAAATTCTAAAATTAGAAGTACCGGAGCCGTATGGAAGACCGTCAGCAAAGAGGACCAAACATAAATAAATAAATAAAATGACTATTAAAATCATTAATAATTAAATTAAATAGTTAATTATCATCAAAGTAATTATTTATTCAATATTAATAATTAATATTTATCAATTATTATTTAATTAATAATTATTAATTAATTAAATAAAACTGATTAATTATTTATTTAAATAATTAAATAATTAAAATTGGTACAACTCTGATATACGCCCTAATTTCACCAAATGTGGCGATATGTGATCTGCACTGGTTTTGGGCGCGATTGCGTGTTGTATGGCAACCCTGTTGATGTTGAAAAATCTTTCGGTGGAGTTCGTTGGTTCGCGTCATGCTCTGTGTCTGAGAAGCTAGGGGGGAAAGATAAAATGGTGAAAGTTGTTGAATTGAAGTTCGGCAAAAGGAAATATCATCGTGGCAATCCTGTTGAGGGGCAATGGGTATTTGGAAGTGTGGAAAGTGGGTCTGGGAGATTATTTTTAGTGGCTGTGCATGATAGAAGTAGGGATTTGTGATTATTTGTTATTTTATTTATTTGTGAACCATAGTATGAATTTTCTGGGTAGTGTGTCTGGCTGTCATATAAATACGATAGTGATTATGTGGCGGCATGTTAAAGGCGGTATGAAATTGGTATTTCTGCTGTTCGAAAAAGTATTGATTCATGCATTTTATTGCATGCAGTGCATTTTATTTTTATGCATGCAGTGCATTTTATTTTATTCTTGTTCTTATTTTGTAGAATGTTATGTTCATTTTTTTAGTATGAATTTCTGTTGTTATTGTTGTTTTTTTGAATTGTTTGAAATTTATTTTAGTTATTTTGTTGATTAGTGCGTACCGTCTAAATTGTGTAATTCATAGATGTTTTTTAAAGTTGAAACCTGAACGCTGTATACATGGTATTCTTTGAAATTTATTGTTGTTATGTTAATTTATTAAAGCGAGGTGTGCGTAGTTCGTAGATTCGTTCATTGCCTAGATTGGGCCCTTCGTAGATGTTTTTTTAAGTTAAACATATCGCTGTGTACATGGACTCTTGTCAAATAGTTTTGGTTAGAAACTTTATGGTTTTGCTATCTAAAGTTTTTGTTTTTGTTTCAGATTTTTAGCTTAAATTGTGTGTGCAAAACGTGGTTTTTGCATTCACGAAAACCGTGTTTTTGGAGATATTTTAGGCTTAAAGTTCGAAATGTAGACAAAAAATTTAGATAGCAATACGACAGCATGGAGTTTCTCACCAAAAATGTTTGGCAAGAAATTTGGCGACTTCAGGGCACATATGAGAGTAGTTCCTCAAAATTTAATAAAATGTAGAGTTAAACTAAAATTTAATAAACAAATTTTAATATAATTTTATTGCAAAAATCAAATTTTCGAGACCTAATTTCTACTGAAATTGTTGTTCCAGTTATATAATAGATGTGCTGGAGCCATCTTTTTTTTTTAAAAAATAGGGCTCCGGTGAGCTTCGCCGCAATTTAAGCTCTGAATACTAGTGAGAAAAGTCCTGCTTAAGCTAAATTGACTTCAAACAGTAACAAATGGTATTATTTCTATTTCTAGCTAAAGGTTTGAAAACAGACAGAAAAGCAGAAAATCTGCACTTGAATCAGGCTTCAAACAAGTCTTAGAAAAGGAAATTGGCCCATTTAGTTAAAAAAAAGAAGAAAAAAGTCATTATTCAAAGCCTTTAACTAAAATTTTATTGCACTACTGAATAAAGAGATCTGAAGATATATACAACCTGGAGGTGGTGGTTTTATTTGATTGTTCCACACAACAAGAACTTTCGCTAAACTAGGAGCTTGCACAACTTTTTGAATAACTTGAAACAAACTTTCCAGGCGATCATATGTAAGTATAACAGCTGTGAAACCTTGCGATTTTGGAGCAATTGTAGGAAGGAAAAGAGGAGCAGAGGCACCAGTCTGTTGAATGTATGTAAAAAGATATTTTAGTCAATGAAATTGAAACAAGAAAGTGTTTAAGAATGCATAAGATGATGTTCAAAGGAAAAAATATATACTTTATATAGAGGCAATATTTAAACACCAATTACATTAAAAATATGCAACAAAAGGGTATTAGCAAACAGAAAAAGCTTCAAAATAGAGAACAAAATTAGTAGTACACACTAGATAGTAAGATTTCATTCTGTGCATTGGTGCTGTAAATAAATATATCATACATACAACATGGAGACGTGTACAACAAATTTTTCATGCAGTAAGAATGACAAATGATTTTTTTAATATCATTTTTACAGAAAAGTTTATGCACTAATAATCTGAAATATTTTCCTAGGAGTTTTCTTAGAACAGTCTAATATTTAAAAACAACTGGCCAAAAGAAAAAATATCTTCAGGTTGTATAGTCACTTTCCCTAGTTAAGATTTTTATTTCTGCACAGATGCAGAAATAAAACTGATAGACGAAGAATTTGGAGTTTGATCATTTTATGCCACGTGCCAGCCTTTATTTATGTATACCTTTTATTTGTATATTTGTTTTTATGTGTACTCAGCCATTATTTTAGCAACTGCTTGTTGTAGACATATACACTATATGATCAAAAGTATCTGGACATACTGTAGTTCAAAAGTATCTGGACACTGTTATAATAACAGTGGATTTTACCAGTAACCACAAGCTTCTAGCTCCCAGACGAGTATAAATGAAGCCACACCAGTTTGCAGATAGAAACGTACATTGGGAGGAAATTAGTGGTAAATGATAATGAACATAGAGAAAGTGACTGGTTGTCACTGGTGTGAAAAGTTTCTATGAATGGAGGGCTGTTCAGTAAAATTTGAAACTCCTAACATCATTAGAAGATCTCTGTTCCACTGTACCTAATGTTACTGTGAAGTGGAATAGTGCAGGGCTACAACTGTGCAGTAAAACAATCTAGTAGACTGCATTGTCTTGCAGAGAATAACTATAGAGCCCTGTAAGGAGTTGTAAAGTCAATCAAATGGAATAGGCAGAAAAAAATTTATCAGAAATTCCAAAAGACCTCTGAATGCAACATCAGTGCAATGACAGCTCATTGCAAACTTCAAACTCTCATTTTTCACAGCCATGCTGCTGCTTACGAACACATTACAGTTACTAATGCAAAGCAGGTAATGCAAGTGGTGAGACCATCAACAACACTAGATGGAGCCTTGAGCAATGATGCCATATGTTATAAAATGGTAAATTAAGGTATACACTATCTGGCAAGTTGATGATAGAGTTTGGAGATGGAGATTACTCTGTGAATGTTTTAATCTGAGTGTATTGCACCACGAGTAAAATTTGGAGAAAGAAGAAAAATGGTTTGGGTTCCCGAACAAGGAATATTAAAGACAGAAGTTTACCTGTACATTTGGACAATTCCACACTGCCTAGCTACAGTTCCAAGAGGGTCCATTCCTGTTTCAACACAATCATGCTCCTATTGACACTATACAGCTTGTGCAGAAGTGGTTTGCAGATATCGGGGTACAGGAATTGGACTGGCCTGCTCAAAGTTCAAACTTGAATTCCGTAGAACACACATGGGATGTATTAGAATGTCAACTGCAATCTGGGCTACACAGCCCCAAGTTGGTGACAAAATTGGCCAATGTTCTGCAAAGATGATGTGCAAATCCTGCAGGAACATTTTAAAATCTAGTAGACAGCATTTCCCAGAGACTAGTAACTGTTATTGTAGCTAAAGGTGGTCCAGCCTCAGAGTAATTTTTTTCTTATCTGTGGCATAACAAAACAAACAGGTGTTTGGATGCTTTTGATCATATACTATATTTGCAATTACAAACATGTTTTAAATGATGCAAAGATTCCTGCTTTGGTATTTTAAAATTTTTCATTTTATTTAAAATTTAACTTTTTATATGTTCATCAAGTTCCTATATTTATTCCTATATATTACAACCAAATTGTAATATTATCAGCATTAATAAAAAAATATTTGTAATTTAAGAAATTTTGTGCATGATTATCAGAGTATGATTCAACAGTAATAAAAATTTATAAGAAGTATAGTGACGTATTTTTAGACTTATGAATTACTTAGAAAACTTATGAATTACTTGCATAAGAATTCTGTCAGTATATCAAATGTAACTAAATTATACATTAAAGACATTAATAAATCCCATAAAAAGCATCACTGAATGGCATTTAAGGAGAAAACATCAACCTTGAATTATTCTGATCTATTTACTAACTGACCCCTAAGTGCAAATTGAATATCATGTCAAAAAATGCAGATTATAAAATTAAATATGTATGTTGTGCAATTTTTGTCATATTTTCCTAAATACAAGCATAGAGACTGAAAAAAATGCATAAAATGTTAGGTTTTTGTAATTTTTACAAAACTGATTTCTTAAAATTTTAAAATGCCAAAATATGAATCTGTCATTTAAAACCTCTTTGTAACTGAAAGTGTATGTCTATGAAAATAAAGGCCAGATAAAGACTTTAGTGGGCATGGTGTATAATAATGTGAATAAAGATCACAGCACTAATCACACATCATAGCAGAAATTAATAAAAATAATTTAACAAATAAAATGCAAAGTAAAATGAATCCTAAAAATTTCTTTAACTAGCAGATTTTAAAAAACAAAAATACTGTAAACGCACATCTTCTAAGATTATTTTATAATCCCATGGGTCAAAGAGATACAATCCCATAGTCAGAAATGAGGATTTCCAAAATTGCAGCAGATACATTTCAAAAACATTGAAACTAACTCAAAAAGCATTGAAAAAGCATTCAACTCACTAACCATGAGCTAAATAATTAAGCAACTACATGCACATATTCCAATACAATTATTCACCTATTAAAACATTAATTTTATCCCATATTTTGAGTTGATACAGCAGACAGATGCTTATCCAAATATTATCAACCAATATTATATCAGTTACTAGTTAGATAAAAAAAAGTTTAGTTATAACAGATAAAAAGTTAATTGACACAACTGCTGCTCAGTTCAGAAATTAGTTTATAACAGATCTTATCAATTTAAAAAAAGTAATATTTTAAAACAATTTTTTTATAGTTGTCAATTTAGTGCTACATAAAAAAGGAAAGAAAAAAAATATGCCTTATAACTTACTATGGTGGAATGTCATTTATTATACAACAATAATGCCCTACTTTGTTTTGAGTAGACAGAAGTTTGAATCAGCTCATAATAAACAATGTATATTCCATACGTAGATTTGAAAATACAATAATCACACAAATCTGGCTAGCTCTATTTACAGCCAGATTACTACCTTGATCTGCACAATTATTTATTTTATTTCCATAACTTTTGGCTCCGTTAGGATGATACGTAGATTATTACAAAAAAAAAAAAGGTACTTGAAGCAACAAGTTAATACAGAAAAACAGCTAACAAATTTCATGACCAAATAAAAGTGATCAAGTTAATCAGAGAGTTAAGAATAAAGGTGTGTGTCATTGCACATTCATTTTAATATGAACAATTTGCTTCATATTTAGTCTAAATTAAATGATAAAAGCACTGAGTTGCTAGGAATGTAATTTTAATTTTTCTACACAAATGTCATTACTCATATTTTTAAGCAGCCTTATTCTAAAACGTTTACAGCCAAGTTTATAATCTACAAGCTATAAAAGTTTTACAGATTTTGGCAACTAATATTCCAAGCTTCACTGAAATTTAAATATCATATATCTTGTTAGGTAGTTTTATTTAGCCTTGCATCAAAAATGGAAAAATCAATATGAGCATTTCCAACCTATTTTGCTTTTTTGTTGCTATAAACATAAAAATGTAGTGCAATTAACAAAAGCATGTCATGTACAGATAAGATGTGCTGGCTCATCACCAATATGAGAACTTGTTTATAAAAGTTCAATCTCAAAGATGCATGATGTTCTGGAAGGCCAGTTAAGGTTGATGCAAAACAAAAGTAATGGTGGAAGAACATTTTTGTGTAAAAACAATTGAGAAATTGCTGAGAGATTGATTTGTAACTGACTTTGCAATTTATGCGCATTTGAGATGACTTGGTGCAATTTCTAAGCCTGGTATTTGGATGCCACACATTTTCAGAAAGATCTGATGTATCACATACCCATCTGCAATTTGCTGTTGAAATGTAAAGACTGCATCATAACCAGATTGTTTAGATTATGACAAAGGACTCTTTGCAGAAGGTAGATGCCTTTGTGGAAAGCTTTTTTTAAAAAAAAAAATTCATATTCATGTTACACATTGGGAAAAACACAAAAACTCCATGCAGCCAGCCTGTTTAACCTTTTCCCAGGGGCTGGGACATATGTGTCCCGAACTAAGTATACAGCAACTGGGGGCTCAGGACTGTTTGTCATTGGTGGCAGGGATAGGAATTCTAGTGCTTGAGGCTTGATGACTATTTTATGACACCCCGTTAAGTGCGTTCTTTTGTGGGATTCCGCTAATGGATTGGGGAAAATTGTTCGTGTTTTGAATTCACATGTCTTGTTGGCAAATTTGGTATCTTCTAGGAAATATTTTGTTGAGAGGAGAAAATAAAAAGAAAAATTTGTTACTTCGATTCACACGCGTTTGCGTTTTCAGGTTTTTTCTGTGCAAATACAGCTTGGAGGTCAAATATGAAAGAAATTTTATTTTCGGAAGTTCGGCTGCTAAAATTCTTCTGAAATTATTTTAAAAGCTTGAATGTATTTTAAAATGCATAATTTTTTCAGTTATTTCTGATTAAATTCTTTTTAATTTGGCTTCAATTCAAATATGAAATTGTCTTTGTTTCATTCTTTTCATAAGTGTTTTTATCAATTTATTCCAATTTTTAATGTGCATGTTAAGGCAGTGTAATAAATATAAATATTTCAGGAGATGAAAATTCATTTTAATGTAATTTCTAAATGACACACATTCCACGACTACTGCTTAATTGAGTGAAATTTTGGTTTGTTACGTTCTAAATGATAACTAGCGGCCGAGCGGATAATATTTCTTATCTCTGATGATTTAACTTGGATTCAAATTTTGATGAATGGATTGACTGCATGAACTTTTCTTGTTCTAACACATATATAAAGGGTATATCAGCCAATTTCTTTTGAAGGAATTCCAAGACAGCCCCTTTCACTTACGTAGATAACATTTTCTTTAATCCGACAAATAAAAATAAAATTATATTTGAAATAAGAAAGCTAAACTTATGAACATATCATAACTATGTTTAGAAACCTTCCTTTTATGAATAATTTTGATGACAAAATGAATTTTAATTGTGCAACAAATGAAATACAAATTTTTACTAAAGCAATTATTATGGAACATTTTCTAATTCAAAATTTTAAAAAGTTTTAAAACTTATTAATTTATCCATTGTTATATGTTTACGTCTATAATGTCATATCTATATCAAATCGTTCAGAAATTAGACACCATTTAAGTTAATTGAATATGGGAAAGCACACAAAGGCTGCCTACCTAAAGAAAAAGATGCCTTCGTGGAGATCTTTTAGAGGAAATTGGCTTGTATTCACGTTTCACATGTGGGAACAGCAAAAACTGACAATGGGGCCAGCTCGATCGCCTGACGTTGAACTAACAGCATTCAGCAGTATTAACCACTCAGTTGCTAGTAGTGTTCAGAAAGTAATTAATTTTACATGAGAATTGTATTTTGGAGGGAATCAAATAAGATATTGGAATACTAAGCATGTATACAAGACTTCAGATGTGTACCACTTTTTAGTTTCCTGAATTTAATCCTCAGTGCGAATCTTCATTAATATTCATCAACTCAGCACAAATCTTCATTTCTAGCTTCATTACTCCCAAAGAAAGCAACTGTAAATAGCTTGAGATCTGAGAATTTCGCATAACAGTTTGATATCTCAAAGGTGATTTTAGCATTCTGAAAATGTAGATCATAAAAAAACTGAAGAAATATTTCGCTATTCGACAAAATGTTTACTTTCTGAAATATCAATGTGTTCCTGTACATGAAATTTTGCATTCAAAGAAAAAATGGTGTAGCAATATAAATCATTGAACAACTATCATACAAAGTAATATCTATCAGCAAAGCAATATCTTATATCGCTAAGTGATAAAACTAAACTTTTGTTACTGAATATATTAAAACTCAACAAAGATTTTATTTTCTAAAGCTACAGGGTCTGCATCTGCATTTCTTTCTTGAACCAAAAACTATGAATCGGTTAAAAATTTAAAAATCTTATATGCCTGATGTAAAGGCAGATCAAATCTGGGACCGCTATTTGCAATGTTACATGGCAGAAAAATAAATAAAAAATTTCTTGGTTCATGCATTATAAATTTTTATTTAGTGCAGTACAAATGCAGTGACCAATTTCTACTTTTCCAGAAATGAGTATTACCAGAGGTGTAAAAGTAATAACACTCATTTTGGAATCTGGAAACACTTTTTAGTAAAGTTTTTAGTTTCTTTGTAGTAAAATAAACTCTATTTAATTTGCTCTTCAACATCAGAATAATAATACTATTAAAAATGAAAATGTATATATTGTTTGCAGGAAATGTTTGAATATTTTAACTCACTGAATTTTCGATATGATGACAAGTGAATATATTTAACTCTGATTGCTTTGCTTATTTTTTAATACATAATCTACGTGCAAGTTTAAAAAACTATTTTAATCATAAAATGGAACACTTTTTAGAGCAGAATTTTCTAGGTGTAGCATACATTTCATCTGAAGATAAAATAATATTTTCCCCCCTTGAAAAAACTGCATTCATCTACCTGCAGTATGAAAGCGATTAGAGTGTATCCCACATTCTAACGCCTAGAACATTGGATTGAAAGGAAATCCTGACCGTTTCCCTGCCTGCCCAACAAAAGAGCACTAATCACCTAGTCGTCAAGACTCGATTTAATAATTTTTCTCCCTTTCCATAACTGCTGAGCCAAGAGCCCTCAGTGAAGGTATACAACTGTTTTTTGAGCCCACGGGAAAAGGTTAACGGGATTTGAACCTGGGTCAAGCTGGCACTATTCAGTGATTTTAGTGCTAGATTGATGGCAGCCCTACAGGTAGGAAGAAACCAACTTATTTCAGAAACAAATCCTACTTTATGATGGAAAGGGTTCAACAAAAAGGTACAACAAATGGAAAGGGTACAATAACATGAAAAAAAAAAGACGATTACACAACAGCTATGATGAACCAGTTTAAAGCACACAGAAAACTGATCTTGAAAGATAGTAATGTTTTTTTACGTAATGTGAATAGAAAGAAAAGATTTCCTTCTTTGAACTATTGTCAAATAACCGAAAGGTTGGTTTGAATATATACTTCTACCAACTAACTCCCTCAAAGCAGATAAAGCAAAAATGTGCTGCATTTCACCATTACAATGCTAGATCTCATACAAGTTTGGCGACTCACCAAACACTAATATAGCTTGAATGGAATGTGTTATTTCATTCATCATATTCACTAAATCTAACATCTTCCAATTTAAATTTTTTTTAGCTCTGCAAATTTTTTAATTGGCAAAATTTTGATTCAAATGAAAGTATCAAAAATAACTTGATTCAGCTTTTTGCTGGTACGACAAAAAATTTTATGGGTGCAACATCATGTCATTATCTGAAAAGTGAGAAAAGATCTTAGAATACAGTGTAAAGGAACAGTCCAGCAAAAGAAATATCTTATTTGCATTTCAACTTCATTCGACTAAACGTTTTCCGGACATTATCAAAAATAATCTAGACTTCTAAACATATGTCCATTGCTGGTAAATAATGTTCATGAGATAAATAACATCAAAATTATTACAAACTGCTTAGAATATCAGGTTTTTTTTTTTTTTTTTTTTTTTTTTTTTTTTGTTTTTGTGTTGTTATTTTTTGTTATTATTTAAATTATGCCAGAAAGTCAACAGTTAAAACTTAACTCATGCTCCACCAAAATTTATACAAAATCAAAATGCTAGTCTTTAAAAGCTGTCAGACATAAAGAAAATGTGACAAAAATTAAAAATTTTATAAACTTATTTTAACTACTACTTATGGCAAAGCTTTCAAGTTAGCGAATAAATGGTAAATTAATTCAGTTTTTCAAAAAACAAGAAAACTGAAAGGGAATTTGAAAGTTCACTGAAGATGAAACTACAATAGATCCTGAACATACAAGTAAAGTAAATGTTTATTATATAATCTTCAAAATTATTTTGAGCAAAACTGAAAAAACTTCCCAGTGAATCAAGCATAATAATTAGTATAATTTCCTTATATTTATGATATTGTTTTCATTAGCTGAAAAGAATTAGTAAAATTTTGTAAACAAAAGTATAGTATTAGTTTTTCATTTAAGTCTATTACATAACATACTTTATAAAACAATTGCTACATATTATTTAGTTGCTTATTAAAAATTATTCAATAATTTCCTCCTTTAAAAAAGGCCTATGTTTGATTGCTTGCACCCCCAAGATAAGTCGCAAAATCTGCCAACAATAGACAAAAAATTTTTGTTTGATTACCTTTACAGCTCCAAGATACTATTTTATATATAAGTAATAATAAAAGGTTAGGTTAGTTTATCTGAATATGATGAAGAACATGACAGCTATCTGCCAAAAGAAGGGGATACCTTCATGAAGGACTTTCTAAGAAAAACTGGTTTGTATCCAAGTTACAAATATAATTTAAAAAAAAGCCATTTATAAGACAAATGTGGGCTGCCTTCAAACCAGTTTTTGATCTCTGTTCCCTTTACTTTCAATTTATAACACTCCAGTTCCAAAAAATTTGATCATACAGAAGCATCTGTATGGTATGTCATTGTGGGTCCTTGAAGCATGCCATAAATATGGAAATTCTACCGAATGTTGAAACCAAGGGTGCAGATATTGAATTAAATATAATATAACAATTAAATTTTGCATAAATTACTTTTCCCCTTTAAGTTAAGTTATGCAGAAGATGGTGCCAAAATTTTTTTTATACAAATGCAAAATAGCAAATATGCCATTTATCAGCTGGTTTAGTGCCCTTCTGCAGCTAAATACAAAATGACATTATATTGGATTTAAGAAATCAGTGGCATTAAAGAATGAAAAACAGGTCCAATTTCTGCTCTATTTGTCTCCAAATCCTACATATTACTAACCTGTTCAACACACGTTCCACTTCCCTATAGCCAGCCAGTTCACTAACCCTTTTAACATACTTTCTCTTCTAGTTCATTATTATATTTGAGATAAGACTTAATGAACCTTAGAAAATTATAAAGGCCACATTCCTACAGCGAGTAAATTACATTTTTGCTGTCACCAACTGAACTTAAAAGTTACAGTTAAAAGTACAGTATTTTAACACTTTTTATAGTATTAATTGCAACATTTTTATGAATTAAAAGATCAATGCATCAACTAGACGTTTTCATCTTAATAATACAAAATCTTGGTTAATCAGGATAATATACTTACCAAATATACCAAATAATTAATACCAAATAATTAATATTTGAAACAACTGTATACCTTTGGGGGTGGATTATTCCAATCTTCATATGACAAAGCATTATGGGGAAAGATCCTACCATTTAAAATTTCCAATACAGTAGAAACAATATTTTTCATTGAACTGAAATATCGTTCCCAGAGAAAGCAAACTTGCTGTCTCATTTCAGAAATTTTTTCGTCAGATACCGATTTCAATATATGAATGAGATCAGACAAATTTTCTTCAAAAATAGTAATGCTGGCTCTATAAAATAAAAGAGATATCACTTACAAGACAGTGTCCAAACAATACATACTTAAAAGTTTACCAAGCTAATTTTCCATCTCTATACATACACAGAGTGAGAAAGACAGTTAAAATTACAACAATACTGATAATTAATTAATACCTTTTCCAATCAATAACTTCAGAGAAAGGCAAGATATAGCCATCAGCAACTATGACAGGTATACAACCTGCTTGCATAGCATCAGACAAGGCAGGCTGTCCAAGTCTAGCTCCTCTTATGATAATGCAAAATATTGAGTCCTAAAATTATTAACAAAAAAAATTAACATCTGAGAGACTCCCTCCTGTATCAGAACATCACTAATTTTGGATATGGGTGCTTACTGAATGGAAATAATCTTTTTATCAGTTAACACATTTTTTTCCTTCAATCCTTCCTCCTTCTCTGAATTAAATATTTTAAAAAAATTAAATTAAATATTTTAACTAACTACCATTTGGCAAATTTGACTCTTTTCCCCCCTCCTTCTTATTTAGTTTGGGATAATAATTAGTCACATTTTATTCAGATATACAAGGTATTTCAGAGAATTTCCAGGAATGCATTAATGAAATGAAAATGTAAATAATTACACATTCACCAGATTGATGATACAGTTACAGAATCATCTGTAATTTATAAGCTAACCTGAAATTAATATTTCACCTTTTTGAGGGAATGGATATTCTTTTATTTACAGAACCAAAATATAGTTCGACTTGTTAAATTATGGAAAAATAATGAATTAGCATAACATTTTGATTAAAGTTAACAAAAACTGCTCTAGAAACTGTTACGGTTTATGGCGAACAATCAATAAATATAACAAAAATTTTCAAGCAGCAAAAGAAAGAACAAGTAAAGTACAATAAAACATGACAATGAAATACACTTTAATGGGATAACTGTAATACTGAGAAAATTTTATACTTAGTAAAAAGCAATCAGTGGTTAACAAAAAGACTTTTACCTGAATACTATATATTTCTACATTCACAGTTCACAAGATACTAGCTGGGAATTTAAGTGAGAAAACTGTGTTTAATATTCCTTCCTATGCTTTGTTTAATGGACAAAATTCCAAACATTTTAGCATCTTACATGATTTATTAGAAAAGACAAACAATGGCAATACCTATCTACACTTTACAATAACAGGAGATGAGAGCTATTGCCTAAAATACAAAACTGAAACAAATATGCAAAGTGCCAAAGCATGAACACTTCTGTTCACTGCAAAGAAGAAAGCAACTAATCATACAAGCTAATTACATTTTCTGAATTGGAAAGAACTGTTCATACAAAATGCATGCCTGGAGGAACAACTATTAAAACTTTTCTTGGAAATAATGGAACTGGTAGCACACAACATCCCGCTGGAAACAACAAATTTATGGACATAATTTTTTAAATTCTTTCATGGCAATGCTTCAGGCCATAAAGTCACTACTATCATAAAATATTCAGATGGCCAATTAATTAATATTTTAGAGTATTTTCTGCATTCTCTGATCTTAGTGCTCATGATGATTTTTTCTTCCTCAAATTAAATAGGTCTTAAAGGATATGTTTTAGAAGTTATTGATAAAACTCTGTAGAACATGATGAGGACTATGAACAGTGCTTCAAAAAAGGGCTCTTTCTATAACCTTACATAGCTGTGAAAAGCATATAGCTTTGCAAACATACTACCGTAATTTCAAGTAGTAAGCTGCCCTGGCATATACGCCGCACACATGATAATTGACTGAAAAAAAAATGAAAGGTCATCGGATCAGCCGCACTGTGATTCAAAGCATTCCGAAACATGGCACTTTAATATTCATTTATTCAGTAATTCCCTGCCACATTGATGTAATGATCATTGATAACATTTTATAACATTTAAAGCATAAATATAATCAGTAATGTATAAATAAATAAGGAAGAAATAAGGAAACATCTCACCTTGAACTTGCCAAAAATGAACTCTACTAATTTCTAATAGATTTTTTTTTTTTTTTTTTTTTTTTTTACAATTTCAGTAAACTTCATTTATCAACATAAATTACCATATCATGAAAAAGAATACGTAAATGAGATAAACAAAAAGAACTTTCTAACTAAACTAAACTACATTTATCTATACAAAACCTTCAAAATCGATGTCAGATTTTAATAAATTTATCAAATGACCATCAAGGTCAATTTAATCATTCTGTTCTAAATCACTTCTTTCAGCATCACTATCTTCACTTTCATTTTCTTTTTCAATGATTTCCGATTTAATGAAACCTGATGCGATCATATCAACTCGGACTGATTGCCATGCTTTATCGGCCCATATGGCAGCCTCCTCATACAAAGCTTTTCTCATTCGTCCAGAATTTGTGAATGAATGGACTCCGCTTTGCATCCAATCCTCCCACTGCTTTTGTAGTTTATGCTTGAAAATTCTACTGAGAGTGAGATCCAGCGGCTGTTGAATTTTTGTAAACCCACCTGGTATCACTGAGACATCGGTGCTAAGTTTTTTTGCTTCAGATCTTACCGTGTCTACTAAATGGCATCGCACTGAATCCAGAACAATGAGTCCTCGGGGTTGGAAAAAAGCACCTTTCCTTTTTTTGATAAATTTCTCTCAGCCAAAACAACATCACTTCTTCACACATCCATCATTTTTCATTGGCACAAATGGTAACTCCTTTACGGAAGTTTCCATTCAGAATTGTTTTTCTTTTGAAAATTATCAAAGAGGTTAACTTCTCTCCATTGGCGGCACAACTCAAAACATGAGTAAAAGAAGTCTTTTCATTCCCAGTTGTAAACACTGAAATAGTTTTTTTCACCTATTAAATGAACAGTTCTGCTCGGAGAACAGTCAAAAGTAACAGGCACTTTATTAATGTTAATTATTTGTCCTCTTTTTAAATATTGTTCTTTAATTTTCTTAGATGTGCACTCTAAAAAAGCTACCTTTTTTCAAGCCAGTCCACGGGAAGCTTTTGTCCAACTGCTGTTTTGGTCCTGACAGATAATTTCTTTTGCTTCATGAACCTTAAACACCAATTAGGTCCTCCAACAAAATTTTTAATGCCCATTTGCAATTTCTTTTGCTTTAAGGTGAATTCTAACCGTTGATACTGATAATCTACTTTCTCTCTGCTCTAATGTCCATTTCTCTAAACTGTCTTCCAAAGCAGGCCAGGCTATGACACCAGTTTGACAAGATCTTTTATTCTTAGGCATTTTCTCTAATTCTTCTTGTTCGGACTTCGACCACCGAATGCATCACTCGTCAACAAATTCTTTAACCACAGCGCGACTTCCAATTTCGATAGCTTTCTTCATTGCTGAAAGCTAAAAAGCAGCTGTATAACTTTTTCTTTGAGTAGGAGCCATAATAATAATTTTAAAGCTCGAATGATAAGGCAAACAAAAAGCAAGCTAAAAAACAGTAAAAACGGATAAGAATGAACACAGCACTTGGCAAGCAAACATAGCTGTTTCCATTACAACAAAAATTCATTGGAAAATGCGAGAAAAACCATGGAGTTTAGGAGAAAGTACATGCATTACAGTGTCTTTAACAGAGAGTGCCACCTACCTTAGTTAGGGAAGTTTGGACTTATTGCACTGCCTTAGCGCAATCTGAGGTTAGAATATTGCAGTGTGTTCTTACCATTTTGCTTCTGCATTACTTACGATCTGAACTAGCGAAGTTCTAAGGACACAGGAAAAATAATATTCCCTCAGATATGCTGCTCTGGCAGATACGCCGCAGACCTAAATTTTCAACTCTCAAACACGTATAAGCTGCGACTTATCTATCCAAAATTACGGTACTCTGCGAGTGACCATATGAAAATAGTAAGTGTTACAGGTACATGTGTAAAATTCCATTGACCAGGAAAGTTGGCACAAATTCCACCAAACTGACACCAGATTGCTTCATATTGTTCCCCAATGCATATTTAATGGAAATTAAAACAAAAAGTTAATTTTTTTAAAGTGTAGAAATTAATGTTTTACAACATATGATTCAAAAAACTTTGTGGCACATTTTATTTGCAAAAATAACTAAAGGTACTTTAAATTCATTATTTCAACAACAACAACAATAAAACTGTTTGAAAACCTAAAAAGAATAACATTATACTAGTGGCCAAAACTCCCTAATGGCATTCAAAATCACTACAAGTAAGTCTTAAATGCGAGTTGAAGTGCTGTTGTGCACTTCCGTGATGCTTTTTGTTTTGCCATTTTGCTGAGCCCCATAATCTTTCGATGTTCTGAATATGTGCACCAGTATCCACATTAACGAAGTTATAACTGTGATTGACCTAGAAATGTTTGAAATTTGCAGCTCTTAATTCGTCAGTTGTGTATGCCTTCCATGAGTCAAAAGTAATAATAGATCCTTCTTCAATATTTTCTTTTAATTGCTTGTAAGATGGTGGCTTCTGTTCCATCAAACACATATTATGCCCTTGATAAAGTCCTCCAAACATCCATTTTTCAGGGAGTATTCCGCCTACTTGTTTTTTACATTTTGTGAAAAGATTTTCATCAATTTCTACGATGTTGTTCGGTTCACCTATTTTTTCTTCGGTCTTGACAAAAGGCTGTGTGTGTGAACTTCTCTTAGACAACTGTTCCAATCTATCAGTCTTGTCACTTAAATCTAATAGTTCTTTTCATCATTCAATAGTTGTTAATTCTTTATACCAACAGTAAATAAATCTGAGTACAGTCAAAAAAGCAATACTGAAACTCTCCAAACTAAGTTCTTTCCACATAGATACCCGCTTGTAGCAATTTTTAATGTTACAATGACATTGTTTGTCTGACTTCAACTAAAGTTTCATATTGTGCTCGTTGACACATTTTTTTCAATGCGAGAATCCTATAATTTTGAAAATACTCAATTGCATTCTGTTCTGTAGTAGGTAGATCTCAAATTTTTATCATTTTGTGGTGAATAGCAGAGAAACAGCCATTAGAACTTAAGTTTGTTTGAAGAAACAAAAATGGTTTATCAAAGTAGCAACCATGTATTTGGTATACAGTTTTCCATTGTTAGTGGAAAATGCGTTGTTTGGCACCATTTTCTTGATTTCACGAAAATGGTTGACAGGATTTTACATATGTACCATATCACATAAAAATACATTTCATAGCATTAATAGAACTTTCTCAACACACTAATATATAGGAACACAAATTATTAAAAACATGAATAAATATTATACGTAAATATTTTTATACTTGAAATAATAAATAAAGTATGAACATATAAATATAGATAGACTGATTCAAAGATAGAATTACTTCTAAGATTTCAGGATACATGTAAGTACTTCCACCCCTGCATCTGAAAGTTCCATTTTGAGAAGCAGAATTTGTTTCTTCAGAACACTGTCCTAAGACAAGTAATTCTGGATGCTCTTCGCCAATATCTTCAAGTTCATGGCGATATTCAAAGTGAATATTAATCTGAGATGAGGTAACTAACCAATGTCTTGAGCTGGAAAAAAATAACTACATATCATAATTTGAAAGCAATATTAAAAAATAATTTACATAACTAAGTTAATTAAAATTACGTTTTTTATTTTTTTTAATCCCTCTCCAAAGGATTCCCATAGATTTTTAACACTGTCAGTAGCATGACTTTTCGGTTTGGCTCATAAGGAGGTATATTTAAAATTTAAATAATACCTAATTTTATTCTTTATTTTAATAAACTTTTATTTGTTATGATTATATTTAGATCATTAAAATGTTTTTAAAAAATTAACAATAAGTGAACAAGTGAAATAATAAAACTGGTAGCGCAATAAGTTTAATAACAAGTGAAAACAAGCCTCATAACTGGACAAAGGCAGCCATGTCACTCGGTTAATCCTTTCTGGACTGGTGTTCCATATACGCATTCCCTACGAATGTCACGCACAGCCAGGCATCCCATCCACACACCACTGAAGGCTGCACTCATGGGACAGGTGATGCATATATGCATTTTACACTGAACCATAGGAGTGCTGTGACCATTACTTTTGAATTGAACATAACTTTAAGATCCTGACGTTCAGTTTGATCCTTTCTACCTAACTTTGGTGTCAGCTGTTGTGGGTGAAGAGAGGAAACTAACGTAAATAAACACAGGTTGTCTCTTTAACTCACCACATGATATAAACATTTATGTTTCTGATATCCCTTTGAATTCTTTTTCACTACTATGTAGGGTTTTTTAGGGCTACTATGTGGGGTTCTTTCATGCTTTGCATTGCTTTTATCGCTTACATTTCATCTACGTCCTTTTTTATTTTGGAAAGTCTTGACTTCAGTTTATTACAGTGACCAAGCATTATTTACCACAGGAAGGACAAAGCTGTATGTATTGAAAAGCATCATCACTTCAATGGCAGAAGCATGCGCTTCGAAGCGACCACAGTGCTCATAGTAGTTATGCAGTGGAAATACAATCAGTAAAACTGTGCATGATCCCTTTCTTTTCAGTCATTGGTTGTTTTATAATAGATTCCATATATTCTACAGCTTTGTTTGATTCAACCCAAGTCTTGTTAGCTGCTAACATGCATTGTTTATATTATTTAGAACTTATTAATTTTATACGTTTTAATTACAAAAGGATCTTTTCAGAACCAATTTTATTTAATTTTCTTTTCCTAATGGCGTATTGATACTGCCGGTTTAAGAATTGCAAGAATAAGATTTCATCAAAATTTGATGGAGTACATTTCTACAGGTTTCCTCTAGAAGAACAAAGGTTAGTACTTGATTATTTTTCACTTTGCTATTTGTAAGGGGATTCGAAATGTGATTATTTTATATTTAAACGTGAGAATAATTTTGTCCTGCATGATACAGTTCATATATGATTGTGTGTCCATAAAAATCTATTGTTTTATGCCGGGGAAAAAATTATGTGATTTACAGTAAGCATTTTATCAGCAACATTTAATCTTACAGAAGAGACTTGCATCGAAGATGGGCATTTTAGTAACGTTTGCATTATTTAGAATTTATGTAATAAACATTTTAATAAAAGATTTTATGTACTGGGTTAAAAAATGGTTTTAAATATTGAATCATTTAATCCTTTACCCATTGAAGTGTCTCGTAAGGAGATATATGCAAATAATACTTCTATGACTCCGATAAAAATAATTTTTTTATCGGTTGAAGCAACACTACATATATTTCCCAACTTTTTTTTTAATTTATTTGCTATAAAAAGTTAAAAGCTCATTCTCTGAAAACTGGTATTTTTGAAAAAAAAAAATTTGCAAGAATAAAATTGCTAAAAAATTTATGAAAATTTTCCTCAAAATATAAATATGCTATATTTATCAAAAGATAAAATGACCCAAATAGTTCCACTGAAATTTTCTCTAAGATATTAATTATTGATGAAATGACATATCACTATTAAAAGTTAGGATGATAAATATAATTCGCTCCCATAACACAGAACATCCTCAGGATGTCCTATTTAAGTCACAATATCTCAGGACATACTTAGGATGTCCTAAGTATGTTCATTCTCAGATGTCCTGAGGACATCATAATTTAACATCCTAAGGATGTCTTATTTAAGTTGCTAAGTCCCAGGCTATGAGAGGATGTCATGAAGATGTTGATTCTCAGACATCCTGAGGATGTCACCAATTTCACATCCTGAGGATATTCATACTGCATTGCCCAGAGGACTTTGGTTGTCAAACATTTTGAGGATATTTGTTCTCAAATTTACGAGTTTTAGTTTCTGATATTGCACATCTAAAACCTGCACATCATTTAATTTTCATATGTATTTTACTAAGTTCTTTCTAAATGCTGTACATTAAAAAATATTGATATTAATATGATTGATGATTTATTCTTGTTACTTTGTTATTAATTTTAACTGCTATTTTTTCTGACATTTTTAAAAATTTATTTAGGCATGAGAAAGATTTTTCTTTTAATGGATTAGCATTTTCTAGAATATTTGTTAAATTCCAAGTAACATATATGTTTTATAAAAATTTTTAAAATTACATGTATAATTACTTGCAGATTACAAACGCTACTAAAAATATAGGCAAAATTAGAAAAAAAAAATTTCCCCTAATTGCAGGACGGAAAATTCTTGGTCAGTGAATATAAAAGCCGTAAATGATAACTATGATTTTCCCCTTTAGCTCTTGATGCCATTCAATATATTTTCAAGAGATGGAACAGTGATGTTCAAACTCTTGAAAATACAAAATAATGCTTAGAAATAACTCTTAAAAATACAAAATAACACTTTCAAAAGTTAGAGCAAAAACTATTGAAAATATTTTCAAATACAGCAGCCTTTTTGTAAGAGCACTATATCTTGAAAGCTCATGATGATACCAATGCAGATAATAGTGTTTCACTTGCACAGCTTTTGAAGGAAGTGCCATGCAGCAACTATCACTGTCGAAGTAAGAATTATCACTGATGAGAATTTTTAGTTCAGCAGTGATAATATTGTGTCTACTTCTTCTGAGGCTAAAACTGCCATAATCATAGCAGATGCCAAATCTATTAAAGGTGACAGTGATGATCAAACAACAAAAGTAACTGTGAGAAAATTTATCAAAACGTCCAACCAAAAAAGATAGTTTAAAGGGAGTAGATATCATTAAAAAGTATATATTATCTGTTTAGAAAACATCATTAAAAGATCAATAGTTACTCAAAAAATATTCAAATATTAATTGCAAAATATTTTTCCATAGTAATATGATATGTTATAGCTTGTTTTGTTCTTTCAAATAAATGCTTTATAATATAGTTCTAATGCTTATTCAGAATTATTATTTATAATTTTTTATTTAAATAGTTTTCTCATTTATGCTGAAGGAGACCTATCCAACTAACAGATCATTCCAGATAATCAATAACTTCGGTCCTTCTACTGAAGTCCGATTGTATAACTATAACTTATTTGCATTAACTTATGGTTCAAAAGTAATTTTGATATACCGTATTTACGCGAATCTAATGCGCATCGTTTTTGGCCAAATGTAGTACTCAAAATTGGGGTGCGCATTAGATTCGATGGCGCATTAGATTCGAGTGCAAAGTTCGCCGATGACGTCAGCAGTTCACCGATGACGTCAACCAAATTTAAATCGTAACAATGGATTACTGTATTTCTCGACTACATTTATGGTTGACACATTGTTGCATAGAGGATACAAACTGCAGAGTACGTAGTCACGAAATGGAGGGCAAGCAGAGAAGAATGTCATATGACGCTACTTTCAAACGTAAAGTAATTCTTTATCCTGAAAGAAATGGCAATAGAAAGGCTGGGAGAGAGTTAAACGTAGCTGAGAGCAATGTTCGCTTGTGGCGGCAACAGAAATTGGCACTGTTTGCAACTAAAACTAGTAGAAAGAAATTCACTGGCCCCCTCGCAAAGGAAGACACCCTAAAATTGAAGAAAAAGTTTTGGAATTTTGTACGTGAAAGGAGGAAGAATGGACAACCTGTGACTAGTAACACTATAAGAAATAAAGCAAAAGAGGAGGCTGAAGTTCTTGGAATACCGAAACCAGAGTTTAAAGCTAGCCGTGGATGGGTGGATCCGTTTGATGAAGCGGATGGGCTTATCTCTAAGACGCCGTACAACAATATGCCAAAAGCTTCCTGCAGATTTTGAGGGAAAACTACTAACATTTTAGCGGTATATTATGTCATCACACTTCGGAAAGGAAAAGAATTTTTCAATGGGGCAAATTGGCAATGCTGCTGACGAGACACCAATTTGGTTTGATATGCCTCCTAACTACACCATTACGTAGAAGGGGACTAAGGAAGTTATCATCAAAATAGTGAATAAAGACGTTTACTATTAATCACTGATTGTAGAAACTGTTAGCTAGATAGAAATGTTACGATTTATTTCATGTTCATACTTTACGATATGTACCGTATATACGGTAGTGGTAATTAACAATGATTGTTTCACATAACAATAGCCCACTAATAGGTTAATTCTATGTTCTGCTACTTTATGTATAAATCCATTGTTGTATAAAATATGGTATCTAAATTTAAATAAAATTATCATACCATTGATTGATAGTTTATATACAAATCCATTGTTGTATAAAATAAGATTCAATAAATTCCTCATACTATTGATGCGCATTACATTTGCCGACAAAAATTTGTTTTATTATTTAAAGTTTTAAAATGGGGATGCGCATTAGATTCGATGGCGCATTAGATTCGCATAAATACGGTATGTATGTCCAGTTTTCCCATCCCATTTTTCCTAAGAGCTTCAATACAATTTTGCTCCTGCTTCAAAAAATCCTATGGGTACTATTCCGTTTAGAGGACTGTAAAAAATCGCCAAACTTTTGTTGATGCCGGTGCTGCCAAAAATAATTGCGGCAACCCTAACGCAAGAAAGGAAGTATAATAGTAAATAACTATCTAAAGATTACTGTTTTAATTTATATGAAAGGTTAGTTTCATATAATACTTTTTTGTTATTATAATTTATATAAAAAAGGCTAAACATAACTGAATGGAAGCATAAGAATAAATAACTATTTCAGATCATTATTATAATTTATATAAAAAAAGACTAAACATAACTGAATGGATTCCTGCATTGCTATTTTACTGCCGAGTTATAGCTTAAGCATAATTTCATCTCGTTGGTTGTTCAAACATAATTTTCTATAATGAATGATGCTTTTATTTGAAAAAATGCTCAGTAAAGTGCAGAATCGCCCACTTATTTGTTTGGTGCTTTTTACAAGGGTAAAAACAATTCAACTTTTGTTAATTTTCTTTCACTTTGTAAGCGAAAATAGACCGATGTGTGCATAGATAAAGTCAAGGGTGTGCGCAGAGCCATTTTTGTGCAATTCTGGGAATTTTTTTTAAAGTGAAAATAGGTCGATGTGTACATGGATTGCAGACTTTTCCTCATGGGCAATTTCCAAATTGTTAAATCCAGAGGATATCAAAAAAGGATTTAAAAATTAAGCTAGTATTTCAATGGCATCTTAAGAAATATAGAACTATCTAAACTTACGAAATTTGAAATCAGCGCATACGCTAGATTTGGCGCACTGTTAAATGGCCACGTTTACTAGATTTGGCGCTTTTACGCATACATTTTTGCTGCAATTTTTTACGGTCCTCAAAACGGAATAGTACTATCCTATGTGATACTTTTAAGAAGAAACAAACTATGTCAGATTGCTATGATTTTGGTTCATACTATACGTTTTTAGTAAGTAAAATGAAGATCTGCCGCTAATCAAATTTGTATTCAGAAAATGACTGAATCAAAAATATAATGAATAAAAATGTCTAACCACCCCTACATACTAGTGCTCACTAACCCATTCAGCACATATTAAGTTTAAAAAAAAAAAAAAAAAAACACGAATATTATAAACAATTGTATGTTAAAACAGTGCTGAAACACTTACCTTCTATGACAAATTTCTGTATCAAATGGTTGCTTTATAAGACTAAATGCTGGAATACTTATATCAAAGGTTCTTCGATATGTCCATGTTGAAAACCCAGCACCAACAATCATGGCTTGCCCACAATCTACTTCTAAAACAGGATGATAATCAGGAACTTGCCCAGGCAACATGTTAAATAACAGGTGATTGATGCCAGAATTCCAACTAAAAAGAAATAAGTATTTCATTAATAATAATATTATGCATGATAAATTTGCTTTCTGAAACAAAGGTACACTGCTCAAAAAAAAAAAAAAGGGACAGTTCGATATCTCCCGTTTTACTGGGCCGATTCACGAAATTCAAATTGCGTTCTTCATGTCTTGAAAGCGCGACTTAGGATATATATTAGATTTATATATAGCACTATTCTAACATAGGTACTTTGACACAAAATTGAACCTTTTTCTGAAATAACATACCAATTTTTTTACATATTTCGATCCTACGACTCAAATAATGCCTAAATGTTAAATTTTGTAAAATTTGGTGTGAAATTTATGGAAAAATTCAACAATTTATGTTCACGATTTTTATTCAGTTTGTGCCAAAATTAGTTCACTTGGCGAACTTCTTAATATGTGGCAACCTATTTTCATTTCCATTTTTACATAGTGCGTGAGACGGAAAAAAAAAACTCAATCGTTCCTTCTTTCAAATAATGTTCTTTATATTATATTTTTAATTATAATTGTTATTAATTTTAAGCAATTTTTTTCTTTTTCGAATTTCATTTTAATTGTTTACGTTGCATAGTTTCTTTTGAATAACTGCTTTAAAATTTTCTATTTACTCATTCGAACTGCATAGCTTAAATCAAAGGTCCATCTTTTATTTATTTATTTATTTATTTTCAAATAGTTTTCTTTATACTATATTTTTAGTCATAGTTACTATCCTAGGTAATTTTTTAATTTTTAGACTTTTATTTTAATTGTTAGTGTTGCATTGTCTCTTCAGATAATTATTTTAAAATTTTCTATTTATTCATTCGAACTGAGCATTTTAAATATATTTATTAATATAAATTTTCCAGAATTTGATTTTATTTATTTGAATTGCGTTTCTTTTGGAATACTTTGTAACCCAGACTACAATGCATTTGAAAACTGCATATATTAAAAGAAACAGTAAAGCACACTTAACACGCCTTTCAATGTTCCGTTCAGAAAAGATATATAAATAAGAGAGATGTATAACCAACATTTTAACTTAGGATGACTTGCATACACTGCTTTAAACAGTTTTTCTTCAGGCATTCTGCAAGTATATTAAAAAGCATCCAACTTTTCGAAATATCTTGGTATTTCTGACAACCATTTTAAATAAAGTTATCTCCTTCCATTTCATAAAAGGCCCACAAACGCCGAGCGGTAAAGTCGCTAAACACTGGTAGTTCACTCCAGGGGTCGAATCCCGATAAAGGGGCTGGTTGCATGGGCGTTTTCGTGGATTTTCTCATGTGTAATGTGTATGCCAGCTGGTTTCCCTTAGAAAGTTCTTCACGAAAGCATCCTTTCTTTTAGGCAGATAGCCCTGCTTTGCCGTAACTTAATAATCCAATTCAATCCATTTCATCAGTATTTAAGTCAGAGCCTTTATCAATCTGTAGAGGTTAGCATTTTGAAGGTATGAGATGAAAGGAAAGGCTGGTTTCATCAAGAGGTTTTGGTTTATTTAATTATGGCAAAGCACACTAGGACTATCTGCCTAAGGGGAGGGATGCCTTCGTGGAGGACTTTCTAAGGGAAACTGGTTTGTATACACATTACACATGGGGAAAACCACCAAAACGCCCATGCAGCCAGCCCGTTCGCGGGATTTGAACCTCAGACCGAACTACCAGTCTAACACCGAACCATATACAGTACAAAGTCTTTAATCTGGACCTCAAAGCTACAAACTTTCTGCGCATGCATAGCGTTTACGCATGCGCATAATACCTTTACGCATGCATGTTTAATGTATAACGGACGGTATAAACTAGGCTAAAATGCTAAAATTATCTAATTATCTATTTCAGTTAATGTTGCACACTGCATTGTTCCTTAATCTTCTAATTGGATCCGGCTTATTATTTTTTGATGACTGTTAGAGCAATTTTATAAAAAATAAGCTTGAACTTTCGATTATGTCAAAAAGAGTTTCCGATTCTGGAGCTGCCAAAGGATCTACAAAGCGAAAGCACGTTTCAATGTCCATCAAACAAAAAGTGTAACTGCTGCAAAAAACGGATAAAGGCATGAAGAAAGTGACAGAGAGGTTACTGAAAACGAAAAAATTTCGATTGACAAGTTAGTCGGTATTCTAGGCACAGCAATTACAGGACTTGAACAGCGGAACTTGTAACTGAACAAGAAATTATGTCTGTTTATAGAATTAAAGGGAAAGTATTAGCACATAAAACGAAGCAACTTAAACAACTTACATTGAAAGAAATGTTTAATAAAGTAAACAAATAAATAATAAGCTTTTTTTTTTTTTTTTTTTTTTTTTTTTTTTTTTTTTTTTTTTTTTGCAAATTTTGATACCCTTAATCATAATTGCTCTTTATTTCATAAATTACGGTTTCCTATTTTTAATTTTATAATTTCTGCATGCCATCTTACCATGATCTATAATCCGGTGGAATCGCCGAAATTCCAGAACTGTAGTCTAAAACCAGTCGCTCTTCACCTTAATCTCAATGATATCATTTTTGTCTTTTCTGTTAACACAAGCTCAATTGATGGTATTTGCTGGTGTACACGTCCAAGTGTTTTCTCTTTGAACACCTAAATTCTTTGAAGTATCCTGAAAGTATATTCAAAAGCGTCCAACTTTTTGAAACATCTTGGTATGTCTGACAGCCAAATTTCCCTGCAAATTTTTGCTTACTTTTTCCCTAATTTTTCTCCCTAATTTTCTTCTTTCCTTCTACAGTTATTTTCAGTGCTCACACAAGAAAATTAAGATTTTTCGATTGCTAGACTTTCCATAAATTTTGCATTCTTGTCAATTTTTTAAAATATCAATTACATGAATTGCGTTTCAGCTGAAGACAGCTTTTCATTTTCTAGTCATTTTAACTATAAATAAAGTTATAAGCGAAGTCCAAAGGATAAATATTTTAATTAAAAGATTTTTTGCTAAATGACAAAGAAATAAAACAGTCCAGCAGTGTTTATTCTGCACCACCGAGTGACCCGATTCTTATATCGGCTGAAACAATCTAAATCATATTAAAGATCATGTTTTTTTATACAATCTCTAACGCGAGAGAAAAATTAGCTTCTTAAAACATTCTTTCTAAGAGGATTAATATAAAAATTTTTATTTATATATATTTTTAAAGCTGGGACTTGAACCAAACTGTCAAACTTTTAAAGTTTAATTTACATGGTGGTTATAATTAAAGTTCCAATTTGAAATGGTCATAAAAGGAAAAAACTACCGGACCAAATGTTATCAAACTTGGGAATCGTGTAAAGGTTAGGAATTTACGGGGGAAAAAAAAAAAGAGTTCAAAAACTCACCACCAGGGAAAAATGGCGCTGTATACAATATTGTTAAATGAAATAAGACATGAAAACATCTGTTTAAAATGTGTTTAATATTTTCCGAAACGTGTTACAAAGCATGTTCAATGTAGCGTCCAGCATTTTCCGAAAGCAAGTTAAATCCTGTTACTGCATTCTCAACAGCAGCTCTTAGCATATCAGGAGGAATGTTACGGACATGTCAGTGTATCACATTTTTCATTTCTGCCAAATTGTTTAGATTATCACCATAAACAGTGCTTTTGAGATAACCCCATAGCCAAAAGTCACAGAGGTTGAGGTCTGGTGGGAAGAGGGGAAGTGTTCGGCCTATAAGACGTTCATTCGTGAAATGTTGCCTAAGTAACTGTGCGACACACGTGAGGTGGGGCCCAGCCCTGCATAAAAATCGTAGTATCTAAAATGCCACGTTACTGCAGTTCATGTATCACGAAACATTTTAACATTGACTCTAAGTGAGCTGCAATCACAGTGGTCCAGCTGTCGACTGCTCTTCAGAGAAAAATGGTTCAGTTATAAAACTAGCTGTCATTCAACACCAAACGGTGTGGAATGACTGCTATGCAATCGAATGCAGTAGGAGAATGCAATGGAACTAGATAGATAACATGAGCGATTTCTTTGGCCCAAATCGATTAAAAGCGTTTTGAATCAGTATCTTCATGTTTTAGGCCTTCAAAAATTACAAATTAGCGATCTGTAAGAAAACGATTTCCAGATTGTACGCACTTGTGCGAGTGATTTGCGATCTCACATTTTCTAATCGCTAATTCGTGGTTTTCACGGACGAATTTCTCCCTTACACGAATGGCACACTCGACTTTTATCGAATTTAACATCTTTAAATGGTAATTGACTTACTTCAAAGTTTCTTAAGGTATATTAAACTCGTGTAACAAAAGGTTAAGTTAGATTCCGACCCATATTTCATACAGAGCCATTTATGCCCTGGTGGTGAGGTCTCAAACTTTCCTTTTTTTTCGCGGAAAATAAATTCCCATGACCTCCTTTACATGATTTCCAAGTTTGATAACATTTGATCCAGTAGTTTCCTTTTATGACCGTTTCAATTGGGAACTTTAATTATAACCACTCTGTATATTATTAAATTTTAAATTGAAGCTATGCGTTATATGTATACCATGCATAAATTTTTCGCTTTTATGGAAAAAAAAAAGAATCGAAGCAAATATACGTAGGATAATAGACCAAAACTGAAAAAATTTACCCTCCCTCCGAAAATCAAATATTGAAACTTCGACCTTGAATTTATTGGGATTATCGAAATATTAATTTGACTTATCTTCTAAGTCCTAGTTCCGACAACAATTCCGTCAAAAATTCCGAATTACTTAAGCTGAAGTAAAAGATTTAGTATATATTCACTGTATGTTAATAAAGTAATCAGAGTGTAATAAAAATAGATTATAGAATTTACGCTGATGCAACTTTTTGTCTGACTGCACAACATGTAATGGAAGAGAAGGCTTGTAGAGATCTGTTTTTGACATGCCTCTAAAAGTAGATGTCATACTCCTTTTGTCTCTTCAATGTCAAAAAACTTTCCTTTGAGAGGCAACTTTAGTTTTTGGGAAAGAAAAAAATCACAAGAAGACAAATTTGAAG